TCCTCTCTAAAGAGTCCAGAGGCATATCCTCTCTAAAGAGCAGAGGCACATCCTCTCTAAAGAGCAGAGGCACGTCCCCTCTAAAGAGTCCAGAGGCATATCCTCTCTAAAGAGTCCAGAGGCATGTCCTCTCTAAAGAGTCCAGAGGCATATTCTCTCTAAAGAGCAGAGGCACATCCTCTCTAAAGAGCAGAGGCATAGCCTCTCTTGTTGCTCCTGGGGTCTGTGGGATCCAGGCGTTCCTTGACTTGCAGAGACGTCTTCAAGGGGCCACCATCCTCCTCCATTTCTCTGTGTCTCGCATCTTCTTTAGAAGGCCCCTCTCACACAGGACTCCGTCCCCTCACTCTGGTAGGATGTTCTGTACACCGCTCTTTACATCTTCAAAGAGCACATGTCCAAAAAAGTTACCTTGCCAGATACAGGGGTCAGGACTTCTGCACGCCTTTTGGGAAGATACAGCACTCCAAGGGAAGAGAGAAGAAGAAGAGGAAGGAGAGAAGAGATGAGAAAGATCAGGAGAGGATTGTGAGGCGAGAGGAAAGAAGAGAGAATACACTAAGGCTGGAGGAGGGTGGAGAGGCAGGAGCAAGTGTGTTGGAAGCGTGCAGGTTCATGGTCCAGGGACAGCCCCACAGAAGACCTCGAACTTGACAGGGAAAAAAATGTTTCAACATATTTCTGTGCATTCTTGAGCTTTTCAAAGATCAGATCCACTGTTGGGATATTTTTAAAGATGTGAAGACTTCTGCATCGTTATTGTCTTAAGAAGAGTGGGTCTACTTTAACAAAGGCACTCGGTATACCAAGATATGTTTAAAATGCATTTGGCTAAAGCAATGAGATAGCTAACCATGAGAACAACTCTAAGGAAGACAAGACAAGCAGTGACACAACACGTAACCTCCCCCCGAAAGCAATCGACTCCAAATACACCCGCACTCCAAAATTCCCGGGTCAGACTTGAAATGAAGGACCACATACTTGCTAATAGTCAGGCACTTACTATGCGTACCAGCAGGTCACTAGGGGAATATTAGGAAAATATTTATAATAAGCTTGTGCAGTTTTCTTGGTTTCAAAGCAAAAAATGAAGAGGGCAGAGAAGATACAGGGGGACCACAAGAATTAAAGACAATGGAGGTACACACTGTTCTATACACAATCCTGCAATAATGGTGGCCTATGAGTAGATGCCTAGGCACACATCAGGCTAAATGAGTGTGCAGGGGGGAGTGGATGCATATCCTTGAATGTATTTAGGTTTGATGAGGACATCTCCTGAAAATACATCAATGAATGTAGTGGAACCTACAGGAGACCAAGTTATGAAAATGTCTCACACATGAGTCACTGGGCTTGGGGGCTCAGGACCACCATCTGGGGGTCACGTATGCCAATCGTCATACTAAGTAGAGTCTTACAAGTTCAGAAGCAGCCATCTAAGGTCTATTGGTTTCTCCCTGACCAGAGGAAAGAAGAGAGCTAGAAACAGAAAACAGATAGAAATAGTTCAATGGACTAAGGGGCCATGCAAACATCAGTCTCTGTTGTTCTGAGACCAGAAGAACTAGATGGTGCCCAGTTATCTCCTCTTGCTCTGAAAGGGATCACATCACAAGGTCTCGGTAGAGTGGGAGAAAAATGTAGAACAAAACTGAAAGTCATAAGAGAAACTAGGCTTACTGGTTGGAAAGAGACTGGATAGAAATAGGCATTGTTTGACAGTTTAGGGAAAACTTGATCATAGTTATAATCTGATGGGAGGAGGTTGTTTATGATCGGAAAAAGGGATATTTGTGCCAAAGTTGTACTTCTAAAACTTGACATCTGTCATTTATTTCTTTTTCTTGCGAAGAATCTACTGATGCTGTCTGCTAAGATGACCTCTATTCCAATTTTCTGAGTATTGGGCAGAGTGGTTAGGATTGGCAATGAAGCCTACTTTACTCCCCATTTCAGGGTAACACAGCCAGTGAACATGAGGGTCAGCATTTGCTTCTTCTGGAGTTATGCAACTTGTATTAATAAGCACAATCTCCAGCAATTTCTACCCCTGTCTTCACAACGTGAAAAGTACTCTGAATACTAGAGACAATTTGAACTACTTAATAATAGGTTTGTGCTATATAGTCATTCATATGTAAGAATTTTTAAAAAAATGATTGCAATTGAATTTAAATTGAAGTTTGTTAGGAAGTTGAGCAGATTGGATCTATGTTGTTGGTTCATTTTAGAGTGATATATATTTTTAAGTTTACTTTAATCTGCTCTCACACACCGACATTGAGTCGATGCCAATTTATAGAAACCCCATAGGACAGAGTAGAATTGCCCCTGTGAGTTTCAGTGACTGTAATTCTCTCTCTTTTTTAAAGATCCTTTTATTAGGGGCTCTTACAGCCCCCATACATCAATCCCCTGGACAATCCATATATCA